GCCGGACCGGAGTCGGAACCGGAGAGGTTCCCCTGACACCATCCCGGTCTACAACGTCGACGGCACCCCCAATGATGCTGGGTCTATTCGCCAAATCGCGGACCTCGTTCTACGGTACAACGGACACTCCGAACGCGTTCAGCTGGCTGTAACCCACCTTGGGAAACAGGACCTGATACTCGGATACTCCTGGCTCAAAAGGCATAACCCCGAGATCAACTGGGAAACAAAGGAGGTGAAAATGAGTCGTTGCCCCCGCAGCTGCTCTACCTGCCGTGACGAAGAGCGGACCGAACGCGCCGAGGACCCCTTAAATCACGACTACTTGCGGGCGCCTTCCCCACTGTTTGCGCTATCGATATCGCTGGCCCAGATGATGCTGACGACGAGCTCGGAGCTGCTTCGGACCCTCCGGAGCCCTCACCAGATCTCGACGGTGACGAGCATCTTGAAGACGGCGACCGCATCTTCTACACCTCCTTTCGCCCAGTTGAGGAGATCCGCGCTGGCAGTACAGTGTCCCAACGCCTTGCAGAGGCCTTCGCCCGTAACTCGGCCCCTCCGCCTTCGGAGATCCCGGACTGGGCCAAGGAGTTCCAAGACGTCTTCGACAAGGAGTCCTTTGACACGTTACCAGAACGAAGGGCTTGGGACCATGCTATCGAACTCGTCCCCCGACGCGAAGCCCGCTAACTGCAAGGTGTATCCGATCTCTCCCCTCGAACAGCGCGAACTTGACGAGTTCATCGAGGAAGGACTTGCCACAGGCCGTATTCGCCCTTCGAAATCTCCGATGGCCTCCCCCGTCTTCTTCGTTAAGAAAAAGGATGGAGGGCTTCGGTTTGTCCAGGACTACCGCGCCCTCAACGCAATGACGATTAAGAACCGGTACCCCCTTCCGTTGATTAACGACCTTATCAACAGGCTCAAGGGCGCTCGTTACTTCACCAAACTCGACGTTCGCTGGGGTTTTAATAACGTCCGGATTAAAGAAGGAGACGAGTGGAAGGCGGCCTTTCGGACTAACCGAGGGTTGTTCGAACCTTTGGTGATGTATTTCGGCCTGACAAACTCCCCCTGACGTTCCAAACGATGATGAATGACATTTTCCAGGACCTCATTCTTTCAGGCGACGTCATGATCTACCTCGACGACATCCTTATCGCACATTCGGACCTCCGCAAGCACCGCGAGATCGTCCGGGAGGTCCTTCGGCGGCTCCGAATGCACAAGTTGTACCTTCGCAAGGAAAAGTGCGACTTCGAGAAATCGTCAATCGAGTACTTGGGGGTCATTATCTCGCACAACCATGTCGAAATGGACCCCGTTAAGGTCGCCGGAGTCTCCGCATGGCCTCCGCCCGAAAACAAGAAGGACGTTCAGCAGTTCCTGGGGTTTGCTAATTTCTACCGCAGGTTCATTCGGGATTTCTCGGCCCTAGCGCAACCTCTCTTTGCGCTCACCAAGAAAGACCAGAAATGGACCTGGGGAGACGCCGGCCGCCGCCTTTCAAGCCATCAAGGACGCGGTCGTATCAGAACCTGTCTTAGCGATCCCGGACGACTCTCGGCCTTTCCGACTTGAAGCAGACAGCTCAGATTATGCGACGGGGCGGTTCTTTCACAACAATCCGCCCCGGACGGGAAGTGGCACCCTGTAGCATTCTATTCCAAAAGCTTAAATGATGTCCAGCGCAACTACGAGATTCACGACAAGGAGATGCTCGCGATCATCCGCGCACTCGAGGAGTATCGGCATTTCCTCGAGGGCGCCGCGCATCCGGTTGAGATCTGGACTGACCATAAGAACTTGGAATACTTCCGAAAGGCGCAACACCTTAATCGTCGGCAAGCCCGATGGTCGTTGTACCTTTCCAGGTTTGACTTTACGCTGCACCACGTCCCCAGGTCGCCAGATGGGCCGTCCCGATGCTCTCTCCCGCCCGGCCTGACCACGACGACAACTCGGATGTCACCCTCTTACGCCCCGAACTGTTCCACGTTCGCGCGCTTGAGGCCGTCACTGTCTCTGGGCCTGGCTCCGAACTTGTCCGCGACATCAAGGAAGCGCTATCCGGTGAGCCTGACCTAGAGGAACCCGTCGCACTTGCGGCTCGGCAACTCTTGAAGGTCCGAGGTCAAGCTCGGGGCCCCCGCTCATCGCGTTCGGACGAGTGGGCCGTCTCAGGCGACCTCCTGTACTTCCGCGGCAAGGTCATAGTCCCCAAAGACAAAGACCTGAGGAGGCGCATTATAGAGCTCTGCCACGACACGCGTGTCGCCGGACATGCCGGGCGGTTCAAGACCCTGGAGTTGGTTTCGGCGCAACTACTGGTGGCCACAGATGTCCCGCCATATCGGACGCTACGTCGCGACCTGCGACTTATGCTGTCGTCTGAAGGCCCTCCGAAGGCTTCCGCACGGGGAGCTACATCCAACCGAAGTCCCCCCGAGCGCTGGCACACCGTCACTGTGGACTTCATCGTCGAGCTCCCGAGGCCCATGGGTATGACGCGGTTATGGTAGTGGTTGACGCCCTCGGGAAACGCGCTCACTTCACCGAATGCCATACGACAATAGACGCGGTCGGAGCTGCCCGCTTGTACTATCGGAACGTCTGGAGACACCACGGAACCCCGAGAAGTACATTTCGGACCGCGGTTCGCAGTTCATCGCTGACTTTACGCGCGAACTCTGGCGCTTAATTGGCATCAAGCCGGCTACCTCTACGGCTTACCACCCGCAGACCGACGGACAAACCGAACGTTAACCAGGAGCTCGAGCAGTACATCCGAATCTTCACCAACTACCAACAAGACGACTGGGACGAGCTTATCCCTGCCGCTGAGTTCGCCTATAACAACCACGTTCACTCCTCCACTCAACAGGTACCCTTTATGACGGACACTGGCCGGCTCCCCCGAATGGGTTTCGAGCCGGGCACCCGCTCAGAGTTGGAGTCAGTGAACGAGTTTCGCGATCGGATAGCGGACGGCGTCTCCGAGGCGAAGGCCGCTCGTCAAAGCCAAAGACGAGTATAAACGGTACTACGATCGGAGACGATCGGACGCTCCGAATATTCAAGTTGGTGATAAGGTTTGGTTAGATGCCTCTGACATCAGAACAACTCGGCCCTCCGAGAAGTTCTCCCACAAGCGCCTCGGACCGTTCAAGGTGCTCGCAGAGGTTAGCAAAGGTGCCTACAAGCTCGACCTCCCCCCGCGTTACTCCAAGCTCCACCCCGTCTTCCCCGTTGTTAAACTCGAGGCTCGCTCAGGACGACCCCTTCAATGGACGACCCGGCTACGACGAACCGCCCCCGAACTAGAGGACGGAGTCCCCGAATGGGAAGTCGAGGAAATCTTGGATGCCAGGATAAGGTATAAGCGTCTTAACTACTTCGTCAGGTGGAAAGGCTACGATGCTTCGCACGACTCGTGGGTTCGGTTCGACCGTGTCTTCGCGCCAGACAAAATTGCGGACTTCTATCGGAGGTACCCAGGTAAACCACGGCACATCGCCTCAGCGACCTTCGACTCCTTGCCCTTCCGAACTATGCGTCGGGACGCCGCATTCAAAGGGGGGTGATGTCAGGGGAACCCCGCCTGGCCTCCTTCGGACCCTCCGAATGCATCCGAGGCGCATCCGACCGGCGCCCCCTCGGACGCTCCAACCCACCCCGACCATCGTCCACGGCCTCCTTCGCCCGCACAATCACCGATCCGTCAAGACCCTCCCAACGATCACCTTGGGACAGAGCCTGCGACGCCGCTCAGGCCTTCTGCGCTCTACGTCGGCAGTTACGGACGACCAGTATATAGTTGGCGCCCTAGCAGGCGGACCCTTAGAGTTTCTTCTCTTTGGATCCTCCCCTGCTAGGTCGGTCCCTCCGTGTATTTCCTGTAGTCTTATTCACGCTTTGGATCCTCCCCTGCTAGGCTTTCGTCGGAGTCTCCAGGGTTGCCCTTACAGCTCCTTCTCACTTCCATTGCCAAAGTTCGTGCCATGAACAAAGCATGCTTTCATGCGTCAACCAACAAATGTTAACCGCACTTCGCGGATAGAGCGGGGCTGGACCGTGACGCCAAGGGTACTGGGAGAAGACAAGGGAGCGGCCCAGGAGGGGAACTCTTAGGTGCGTCTGCGTCTGTTCCCCCTGTATTTGCTAATTATCATCTCAGCTTGATATAATAATATATGTAACATTGCTTCTATCGATATACCTCGTCTCACTCTTATCTGCTCAACGCAACAATCTCGGCCAAAGCATCCACATCGACGGGTCCATCCTTGGCCTCGATTTTAGCGCTCATGTCTGCCAGCCGCCGCCTGCCTCGCATGAAGATATGGGACTTAGGGATGCTTATCGTGGATTCTGCTCCCATACCATCGTCCACCGCCTGATTGCCCACTGCCCCCTCGAAGTCTGCCCATTCGACGTCGTCTCGACATCACATGATTCACAACCGCGCTCGCGCTGGAGAATATGATGGAGTTGGCTATCTTGTCTTTGGGACGCGCCGCAATGGGTCTCATGGTCGGAAACGATGTGCGCCAATTTGCCTCCTTCCTTTATACATGTGCAGTCGTCTGAGTACCGTCTGCTCCCGCAGCCCGGCGCTACCGCTCGTTCACTTGTCGTCCCCACGTCGAACTGTCGTGTGTTGAACGCGGGCTAAAACAACTTTGAGCTTGGTACTTGACGACGCAGGCTGTTTAGTGCTCAAGTGCATGACCACTGGCAGTGGCGACACCAGCAACCGTGCCGGAGCATGCTCCTCGCCGCCGTTACAGATTGAGCAGGTGTGTGGTGGTGAGGACGGCACGTTCGATGCGCGCCACGGCTATTTGATGAATTGATGTACGCTTCCTTTTTTCTATGCGGTTTAGCTTGTAACCATATCTTATGCCCGCGGTAAGCAGCCACCCGGCAAGTCCAGTCCCCGGTTTCGTAACTATGAGTCTATTGGATATAATGATTGAGCCTCTTGGTGCGCAATTCTATGTAGTCTTAACTCTCTTCCATGCCGGCTTCCCGCCGCGTCCTCCCTTCTCTCCCTCCTTTGATGCGGCGCCGCCAGCCATCACAGCCGCAGGGCGCTTTGCGGGCACGACAGGCGGGGGCTGCTGCTGACCGCCCGTCACGAGGACAACACCATGGCGCGCCTTGAGCGCGTTGTACAGCGCGGTATTGAATCCCACGAGCTGCAGACCAACGACTTCGACGTCTATGAACCCCGCGGGAAACTTGGCGCGAACAAGCCGGTCAGCCTCTTCCGCCGACACGCAAGACGGCGTGCCGAATGCAATATCCATGAGCGCTTTGGTGTCCTGGATGCACGTTGGGTGAGGGTTGGCTGACAATAAATGACTCGGAAGCTCACGATCGACTTGTGCGGGCGGGTCGCGCGCGGATAAACTAGCTGGTGGCAGAGGAACGTCCCTGCGTAGGTTATATACCCGCCCTGGCCTGCACGCTGGACCGTGATGAACAGTTCGCGAGTGCTGTGCACCAGTGGCCCGAGGTCGGACCCTTCCTTCCACTCCTTTCTCGCGCCATCGTACACCACAGTTGGCGCAAACGCGAGGTAGCCGACGCTTGCGCAGGACACGGTGCGGTTAGGTAAGAACAGGACGTGATTCATGAAGCTGAGAGGCATTAGCAACCACAGAGAGCGACTCTGAGCATTCACCTTTGGGTTGTAGCGTCCTAGAAAATAGTCAATCACGGAGCCTGTCTTAGTCCATGCCCAGTTGCTTACCCTGGCTAGGAACGCAAACAGATTCTCACTTGCTTGACAAATATTATACGATGGCGGCAAATTCGTGTGCTTGACCGTGGAGCTCCTGCCGGAGGAAAGGGACATCAGCCGTGTTTGGCATCGCGAAACCGCAGATTCCGCCTGGTGTGAAAGATTAAAGGGTGCGGCCAGCAGCGAGCAAAAATCTCACCGCTCGAGCAACTTGATACTCATATGCCGCAATAAGCACGACAGTCTCCTGGTCGTTTTGTTTCTGCGACCGCTCCTTCTTCTCGACCTGTACAGCGCCAAGGTCTTTGTTTTCTTTGCGTAGCAACTCGACTTCAGCTTTCAAGTCCCGCACGGTCTATGCAGCGTCAGAGATGCCATTTGCGGCCTATGCAAGTAGCATCACTCACCTCCTGCATCGATTCCTTTTTCTCCTTCAATGTGGCAATTTGACCTTGGAGATCTGTCGCATACGCATCCCATTCGGCAACTGTCTATGCAAAGAGCGATTGCTTAACGTCCTGCTCAAGGGTCGGGACGCTCTCACCTTCCGCTGCTCCTTCCGTTGTTCCTTCACTTTGTCGTACTTGGCGCGAAGAGTGGCGAGTGCCTCCGATGTCGTCGAGGGGCCAGTGCGAAGCTCTGACATTTGCTGGTCCATCTATAATATCATATATGGGTCAGTACTAGGAACTATTTGGACAGTCGGAGAAGACGTGCCGTCTCAAGCTGCCCCTTCAAATCCTTCGTTTCGCGCTCTAACACCCCGACCTCCTTGAGCGCATTGTCAGCCTTCTGTGTTCAATGTCAGCTCATTCGACATCCAGATAGGGCCGCGCGAAACCTTCTCTGCGCGTTGTTTCTGGAATAATAAAAAATCTGTTCAGCGCCGTCACCATTCACACCAAATCGGACAACGCACCTCTTTGGCCACTGTCGTTACCGTAGCGAGGGCTTTGCGAAGCGAGCTCTCCATCTTTCGATACTCCTAAACAGACCGTCAGAAAGACGAAGGAAGATTAGCACGGCACGCACATGAAACCACACCTCCTTGCTTTTGCGCTCGTCTTCGCGGCTCCGGCGGTGGCGCAAGGGGCTGGGGTCGAGCAAAACCTCCTTCGCATCCTCGTCCGACTCGCTCTTCTGGCGGAAAAGGCAGCAATTCAGCGAAGGGAGCGTAAATGAGGGGAAGTCAACGGGCGCACCATTTCGACTTCAGGGTCGCTGTCTTCGTCAGCCAGCACAGCAATCGCCGGCCCTGGATCTCCCTGGAGCTGTGTTGCATCAGCGAGTGGCGGGAGAGGGCATTGCGACGCACCAGTGCCTCCAGTGTGTCGTCCAGGCCAGCCATGAGCTTGCGCGAACGCTGGAGGAATGCCGCCTCGTCGTCGTTCATTCGCAAAAGGAAGCGGCAGAAAGAAGCGCCGAAGGTAACGACACTCTGCATTGATGCGTGAGAATGGGACCATGGGTCGATTCGCCGCGGAAGGTGCCGAAGACAAGCTTTGGAGTGGCTTCAGGGCTGAAAATGGGAGCAGAAGCATCGCTCACCTTCGGAAAGCTGACTTGAAGCAGCGTGGTGGCTTCTCGGGACGTTGAAACGCGTGGCGAGCCTGGCTACAGCGCGTCGCGTCAGACGCTTTTGGCAGCTGGCCAATGTTGCTACGGTGGCCCGCCGCAACGGTACTGTCCCGACAATCGTCTCGCATGTTAGGTGGCCATCGCCAGCCAGCTAGTCCGTCTTCGCTGGTGCATGGGTGATAGTGAGCGGGAGAAGGGCCTTTGGCTTGGCGCTGACGTGGCGATCACGTCATCGGCCACACCTTGTCTTTTGCCCTCCGAGTCTCCTTCCATTCCGCCCATGTTCTCGACGCGTCGGACGCGCGAGCCGCGCGCTCATTTGAAGCCGACAACCATATCACACCGATACTGGACAAGGAAACGGGAAGCACAGGTGCGTCTCCTTCTCTTACTGATCATGATCGTCTCACCAGTGAAAATTGTCAGAAGTTTTGCTAGGACGATAAGTACTGGCGGGACAAGTATGGAGTCCAGTTGGCAACGAGGCGTCGCATGCTTCTAGACCACGGTAAGTACACGCCCGTCGTGAGAACAAGCATGAGGCACCTGCTCACCAACTTAGTGTCTCTTCAGCCTACCTTTATCCCTCGTCCGTCTCCCACTCTTCTTCCCGAATCCTCGCGCCACAACGACCAGCTTAGCCCTGGGCCGGCCCGGAGTACCCTCTTACCGCAGCCCAGGCAACAGCCTATTGCACCACCTTGGTCCTTGGCCGCCCTGTTTCTGTCGGTGCGGAAGCCAGTCTCGTTGGAACTGGCCAACGGCAATCCGAGGCACGCCCGGGTACTGCCCGGGTCTTCTTGTCACCCAGCTGGGTCCCACAAGCATTCACCGCGCCAGGTCCCGCCTCATCGCGGACCTCACCAGCGATTAAAATCCGCGCGTCAATTTCCCTCGTCTCGCCTAGCGCAAACTTCAACAACTCGACGACCGATACAGAGGCTGTCTCGCTGGCTGGCGAGGGTTGAAGGTTTTTTAAGGACGCGGATCGCTGAGGATGCTTAAAGGTGTGTTGCTATCACTCTCCTCAAGCATGTTTCATGATTGTGTTGTCTAGTTTGTGTCATAAAGTAACTTGAAGATGCTGCCTAAAATGTTTGCTCCTCGTCCTCCTCTGCTCGCAGCAACGGCTCCTGTGGTGCCAGCCCGACACTCCTCGCACCCATCACGATCTCCTCGCCGATTTCCCGCGGCACCCCATAATGCAGCCTGAGCATGTCAAACAGCTCTTCATCCGCCCGCTCGAGCAAGTCGACCCAAATATGTGTGTCCTCTGTCATTGCTAGTTCCAGCGCGCGTTTCAGTGCAGCAATGTGCCCGCAAACGGCGGGGTGTGTCGCAGAGGCCTTGCGCTGACACTGCAATGTCCAAATTAGTGAGTGGCACAGCAAAACAACACGACGGAAAGTCACCTTGGAAGAACAGAAACGAGCACCGCTGCATCCGCCACAAATTCGTGTCTCATCGAGGCCCAAGCTTCCGCGGGGGCGGCGCTGTCCACCGCTGGTGGGACGAAGGAGTGAGCACTCGAGGTTGGTGCATGGCGCGTGGTAGAGGGTCATGATGACCCGGTAGGCCTCCATTAGGATGTCTTCTTCCTGCGGGGACTCGGATGCTCCCAATGTGACATTGGTGAGTGGCTCGGAATGAGGCTCGAAGTCGGCGAGCGCATCGGCAGTGGGAGAGCTGTAGGCGGCGGACATGGTTCAAGTTGGTGGAAGAGGGTTGTGTCGGAAGAAATGCTACGAGAGGCGTGACCAGCAACTGAAGTACCTGGCCATAGCAACTTGTGCTTTGACCAATCCATTGTTTGATGACAGGCATTGACAGCGCTTTGACTTCCAACAGAATTTCAACTTGTTGTACATAGAGAAGAACGACAAAAAAGATTTAATAGCGAGCAATCGCATAACTCTACCCTCTGGCGCGCGACTTCGGCTTGGACGACGAGGATACACCTGGTGGACGTGAATATCGCAAAAACAGCGGTTACGGGAGACACGCACGTTTGGCGGTGAATCCAGCTTGCTTCAGGTATTCATGGCCGCTCGTCTACAACGGCAATGCGGTTTGTAAGCAGCGTCACGTCCTGAATGAAGGATGGATGGAACGTACACTGGGCTTACTGCGTCCTGAGGACAAAGGGGCAGCTTTACTGATGGCTGGGGACGATATACGTGAGCGCGGGATGGATTGGGCAGGAGGAGCAAGCATACGTGGATGGGTAACGGCGCGAATCGGTGGGGCGGACAGTGTTGGGACTTCAGCAAGCCAGTTAACCGATGGAAACGGTAAATTTAAACGAGCGCGCACGACTGGACACCCGAGCCCTCTTGCGCACTGGGGATGGGGATTCGGCCGCCTCGCTATCGGCGTCTTGGGGCGAAAGCTCGACGTGATGCTCTTCCGGTTCGGCCTTGACACGCACGGCAGCCTGAGAGCCGCCCAGCCCCCAATCTTCGCCCACCATCTTGCTGAAAGCATGGAGCGCCTCCACAAGTCCACCGCTTTTGCGAATCATGCCGATGATGCGCGCCTGTGAAAGCCCAGTCTTGTGGGAGAAGGCGGCGAGCTCAGCGTTGACATCGATGACCTGGAGGCGAGTTTTAACGTTGAATGCCCGAGAAAGCTTGGAAGTCGCACAACAGCGGGTTCAGTCTCGTATAGGTCGTCGTCACTCGCGGAGGCAGCCACATGCGATCGCTTGCGGTTGCTGGAGGTCGCGGTCCCAGTCGGGGGCACAGTAGATTGACGATTCGCCCTTCAGCGGGTTAGCACCTCAAATATGGCACAGGAAAAGACACCACGCACTGGCGCGCCATAGAGGCTGAAGACAAGAGTGCTTCAGGGTCGCATTTTCAGGGTCCCAGTGCCGGACAAAGCCAGGGCAGCCGCGGGCGGCTGAAACGTGAAGGGAGACGGAAGGAAAGAAGCCACGTCAGCGTCACGTGAAGATGATCGACGGATCATGACGTGGCTTCCCTTTCCCTCCTTCCTCTCCGCTCCCTCGCGCCGAAGCTCCCCGCGCACTAAGCACGTCTCTGGCCATGTCTAGCAGCGTCTAATACGACAGTATGGATTTCTGCGGTGCACCTTAGCTCAGCGCACAAGGTGTGTTGACCGGCGACTCCGAGTCAGACCCTGACTTCTTAACCCGGCCCTGCTTACTTATCCTCGTTTAGGCGGTCCTTCCCACCCTTCATCGGCGGCTTTACGCTTGCTTTACGCCCACCAAACGAGTTTCTTTCGGCCCACGGTCCGTACTCGAAAGGCCGCGCTAAAATTTCAAGCGGCCTCTTGCTCTTGCTGCTGACCATGCCCGGCCCACGGTGAGTGCTGCTCGCTGAGGCCGTTCCTATCCTGACCTTAATGACCAGATATACCCAATCCGACGGCGAGAACCTTCTCATGTACCTCGCCCACCCCGCGCGGCGCGCGCTGGACCGCCAGTGTCTAGCGACGTATAGCGCGCTTGGACCTAGGGTGCGTCTTCTCCCCCGCTGTCGCTTGGTCTGGCTCGTGCTTACTCGCCTCAGTCTGCCGAGGCTTGGTCGCGGCAGCATAAACCCGAGGGCTGGCTGCATTATTATCGCACCCTGCATAAGGCGGACTATTACATTCGGAAGCTGGTAATGGAATGGGCGGAGTGGGAAGACGGGTGCGTATGCACTTAGGCGTTGCAGTCAATCTTGCTGACTTTCTGCGAGGGACAACGAAGAAGGGAGAACCTCAGAAGGGCATTCTGACGACGAGGTGCGTTGTATTCTCCCAATCTCCATCCTATCCTCAAATTGCCCTGGCGCAGGACGAAAAACAGCACTCAGACGACGTTGATATCGAGCTCGAGGCCCACGTTGACGCCATTCAAACCGCCTATCCCCACGCTTCGCGCGATTTGATTTATCTTGCCATAGAGAAGCATGGCGACCCTGGGCGTGTTGCCGACATGTTTGCGGAGCTTCTCGACTCGGAGGGTCATTCAAGCGCAGACACTACGCCTACGCCTCAAAAACGGAGGCACCAACAGCGAGGCGGCTACGAGTCCGATTCGGACTACAAAACAGAAGCGAGCGAGGAGAGCACGCCGAGGCGGAAGAAACGGCGAGGTAGGTCCTGTTGTCTTTGATTCGTTGGCCTTGACATCGATATTGTCAGCGCCTGGCACGCCAACCCCTGTGCCTTCTTCGCGTTCCAGGGATACTCCAGAGTCAGATGACGATGACCTCCCACTTGCTCCGGCGCGTATGTCTTTTCCGAAAGACATAGAATGTACTACTGAGTCCATAACTAGCCCAAGTCCGGCGAGCAGCACGCAACTTGAGGTTTAACACGCCTTGTAGGTGGTTCCCATTTGCCTCACGACACCGATTGGCCTGATATCTGACTTCAGCAGCCTCCGTTGACCTCGACTCCGAGTCGAGCACAGAAAAAGGCCAATCATAGCAAGCCCCAGAGCCAGCGCGGTACGTCCTTCGTTCAACTCTAATGTTACCATTGTCTGATTGTCGGTCAGCATATGTCCTCGTCCCGCCTCTCCCGGTACTCAAAATCACCCCCAAACACAAGAAGTCAGTGCGATATGACCTCAGGCTGCCGCCAGTGGGTGCGGGCAAGGATCGCGGCGAGCTTCGCAGGTTCGCGCCGAATCCGCAGCGGACGGTGCCAATGAAGGGGCGGGGAGGGCCGCGAAGAGGAAAATCACCTGAGGTTTAAGGTGACGCGTGGGCACTTGCCTGCTAGAATAACAACGTTACTTGTAACTAAGCTTATAAATTTGAAATCAGTTCAATCAATGCTCGCCTAAGTAGTATGTAACACCACTGAAGTTTACCGAAGCTTCGTGCCATGGGTTTCCGATTCCTGATGCCTCCTCAGTTAGCCTTCATGGTTCTACTACGTTCATGGCCACTCTTGGTGAATGGCTTGTAGTGGTCGGCGACAGATGATCTGACTCGGATCTGATTGCCACGTGTCACCTCACCAAGCCCTCCTTCTTTGCTTCCGCCCACCACGGTCAGTCGGTCGACGTCGTCTTTGCCCACTGGCATGCTCCCATGCCGGCTTCAAGGTGAGTAGTCTGCCAGTGTGCGTCCCTGGAGCGCGCTCATATCGGCGTTTCAGGTCTAAGCGGGTGACTGCGATCCAGCCTCCGAGTGCGAGTCGGTCTGTTGCCCCCTTGCCGTCTGGGTCGCCGGCGGAAAGATGTTGCAACGGCTGACCAGCTCTTTCAGCTCCCTCAAGACGTCTGGCGCCGTCAAACGTCGCTCACAGTTTACCGCCGCTGAAGATATCCTCCTCGTCTCGCACCTCTGCAGGATTCCAGCGGCGAAACGCCGGCATAAGAAGGTTTTTGAGCGGATTCATGCTGAGGTGAGTCGCACCCTTTCCCACCAAACACTAAAAATGGAAGGGCTGATGTCTAATTCAGCAGCCTGGCCTGCAACGCCATTCTGCCCGCTCGTGGTTCGACCGCTATTGCCGCAGGAGGGACGAATACGACTTTATGTGCGAGATGAGGGCGAGGGAATTGGGCTCTGCAAGGTGCGTGGTTTCTTTTTACTCGAGATTTGACTCTGACTGCTTTCTAGCGCTGATGAGCCGAATACTGACACCCGGACTCCGACTGGTTTGCAACTCAGCGCCGACGACAAGCTGCTGGCGGTCACCATCGGGCTCAATGTCATCGCGCAAGTGCATAACGTTCCTATCAGGGAAGTGTACTCGATATGGGAGGCTGAAGGCTGCTTGGAGCGCGTTGACGCGGTGTTGTCGTTGGCTGGGAATGGCTCGGATGTAGAGATGACCAGCGTGGAATCAGATGCGAGTAGCTCTCAGTCGCCTGACTCTGAATCTGAGTCCGACAACGACGTCACCCCTTCTTCCCTCCACAAATCCACCAGCCAATACGACTTCGACACTGAAAACGCACAGGACCTGTCAACCGGCCACTCAAACTCTTCCCGCGCAACCTCCCTTGCTCCTGCTGGTGAAAGTGAAGTCGATGCTGCAGGTAGGGCCGACCGTATCGAGTCGGACCTGGAGGATCATCCATCAATCAACCAATCGACTTCGTTTCACGCAACCTCCATTCCTGCTCATGCTGGCGACAGCGAATCAGACCCTGAAGAGTCGCCCAAATCCGGATTTGAGTCGGATGACAATGCCAGCTCGTCGTCTGGAGCAAAATCCGCCAGGGAATCTGAGTCTGTCATTGACAGCGAGTCGGATAAGGGAGAATTAGGCCGAGATGCGACAGGGAGCGAGTTGGACTGGGAAGAAGGCAACGCAACGATGCTGGTCGACTCGGAATCTGATCCTGACACAGGACCTGAGGAAAGCGAACACGACGCCGATTCGGATGAGCCTCGCGACCTTACTCCGCCACCCGAGCTTACTCCCCGCGCGCCGAGGCGCATGATGGCGCGTCGCTTGTACAACGGGCAGCCCATCTTGACGCTCGACAGCTTGAGCACCATTGCCTCAGCCGATGAAGGGAGTGCCGCTAGCGAGTCTCATATGTCGCAGACACACTGCACGGGCGACGGAGTGGGGGCGAGTGATGGCGAGGAGCAAGAGAGCACGTATATCGCGACACAGCCCGATTTATTTGGCCCGCCATTGGGTCCGTCGAAGCGTCGCGGGAAAGAGAGGGGACGGAAAGACAAAGCCGAGGAGGAGATGGACTTCGAGAATTTCAGCTGGGGGAGCTTGAGGCGATGATGAAGACGATTGAATCTGCGTTCAAGTTCACTTATGTATATGGTTTTAGTACTTACTGCAAGATCGCAACACCTCTGAGATTGCGTCCTAGAAACACTGGGTATACTAGTACTTATACTCACATTTTGTGATACTGCACAAAATTGAAATTGTCGACGTCGTGATCGGTGCATGACGTAGTACAACGAGTGACTAGAAGAACGAAACAAAAGATGCGCCTGGGCTATGGATTTCCCCCACCCGACCAAGCCTGGGCGGGATGATGTACCTTTTACTTCTTGCCGAAATCCGAACGGATTAGGGGAGAGCCACTCTGGTGGCTCTCAGTGGCGCCGCATGAAAATTTGAAAGGATAAAGCGGTTTGAATCCAGTCGTTCGACTGGTGCCACAAACGTAGACGCTCTACGTGAAGCGAGCTGATTAACTCGCGCTCAGCAAGAATAGAGGGTACTGGGGTCAATCCAAAAAAACGACAGAAAGTTGGAGATAGTGCACTTGTGTGTGGAGGCGGGCGATTTCTTGCTGCTCTTAGTGTCAGATCCAGATTTGCATAGGGGAATAGAGGGACGAACGGCGTGGGGAAGGGGTGGACTGGGGTCGCTCTTATCCGAGTCTCGCAGGGCGCGAGGTGTTGCTGTTTGAACAGCCTGGGACGTTATGAGTCCGACCTAGGAGGATTAGTAGAAGGCACGGAGACAGAGAGCATGCCGGTTGGCGATGTACCATGAACACACGCTCGGCCGCGATGAGCTCCTGCTCGAGTTGTCCGAGGAGAGTCTTGTTTCGCCGCCCATGGGTTATGCGTTTCAGAGATCCCTGGCGTGCGATTGAGTCAAATACTTGCTGGACTTGCGTCAGGACCCTGTTGCTATCGAGTAAGTTGGAGATCAAGAAGTGAAGAGTGTTTACTGACTCTTCAAAGCGGACCAGATGTAGCAGAACGGACTTCGGAAGGGGGGGAGGGTCCATCCCGATTGACTCGTACATCGTGTTGACGACGCGCGCTGCGTGAAGCGCCAGCGCAGCCGCGCGCGATGTGCAGTCTCCCGCTCGCTGTCAAGACGGAGTCAGTGTTGTCGCCTAGCCAACGGCTGTACATACCTCGAATACGTCCCCGATTGCGAGGATCAAGCCGACTGACGACTTGAGAGGCGGACACACATCTGCGGCCTCCTTGAGGACCTCGAGGAGAGTGCGGAAAGCATCGACGGTGAGAGACAACTTGGTACTAGTAGAAAACGGCTCGTCAAGGGAGCAAGCAGAGGGAAGGCGTCGACGCTTGCGCATGCCCGTGACGGTGGAGAGTTGCTTGCAGAATACGGTCTTATACTTGGTGAGAGTCGGGCAGTGCAGCACAGCCGGCGCTAATCAGGCTGGCGTCAAGCAAGAACTCAGAATGCTGTTGCAAAGCTGTTGAGGCAATGATTCGGCCGAAACCTCGTTTGGTGGAACAGTCGGAGGCAGCCTACAAGCATATTCAAAGCGGACGAGCAAGGGGAAAACAAACACCTTTCGCTTGTGAGCCCCTCAGGTTCATGCATGCTCTTCGTCTGGGAGCGCTTGCAGACGAGAAATGGCGGGAGGAGACTCCGGTAAGGCAGAGGCGTCGGCGTGGTCGTGGAGAGGGAAAGCAAAGGGAAAGATAGCGTGTGAGCGCTGATCGGCTATCGCGCCGGGCAACGCCGATTGGCTGGGTGCACGTGCGCTCGATGACGTGATTGTCTTCCCGCTTGCGTTCGCCCACCACCCGCTCTGCCCGCCACGAATATCAGGTCCACTGGCCTGGCGTTGCCAAGTCTGCTGACTAGGCCAGGCGCCCACCTCATCCCGCCTGAAGCGAGTCCGTCCTCGCCAGCAACAACAGTCCGAGGAAATCAAGAAGGAACCTTCCCTGCAGGGTCCGAGTTGGCGTGAGCCGTCAGTCACATATGCCGGGCCGCAACGTACCCACGCCCACCGTTTCATCCTCGTCCTCCCGCCATCATGGATATTGTCCACGCGCCTGACGAAACAACAGCCTTGCTTGCAAAAGCCCACAAGCGAGCAGCCAAGTGGGAGCAAGACATGCTCGCTCTGCGGGGGAGGCTCCAGTTGGTGGGTCGGTTCATTTATGTTACTCGCAGGCTGACATTAGCCGTAGGACGAATCTTCGGGCACGGTTCTAACGGAGACAGAAGAGGATGAACTCGATTCGCCGGAGTCGGAGACGGGTGTGCTAGTGCGTTTTGCTGGCCGTCTGCTTTCTGCTTCTACTCACAACTGTGTTAACGGTCAGAAGGTCGAGTGCGACTCCTCCGACGAGAAGACGCACATTCTCCTCGAAGCACGGCCAATGCGCCTGCGACGCACTATAAAAGACGAGCGGCGGGCAAAAGAGGCCTGGTTCAGCGTGGGTAGCTTGTCTTCCACCTAACTCGGAACTGACGAGGGGCGAAAGCACTGCATCCACGTCGAGACAGTCATGCGAGCGACACACGAAGCTGCTAAGGTTGCAGTGCAGGAGAAGGTAGAGGCTGTCAAGGTGCGCTGCTGTTCGTTGTCTGTTAAGGTACCAACGGCATGCAGGAGTCGACGCTACTTTGCAAATCCCTGCGAAGGGATGTTCGCAGGCTTGAGCGCAAACTCGAGCAGGTGTGTCGTGTCGTGCATTTTTTGTGCCTGCGGCTGACATTGCTCAAGACGAAAACGGAAAGCGAAGCGGTACAATTCCACAGCTGCATTCCGAGTCAGTCTCATTTGCTGAATGGACAAATAGGCGTTTGCTTCCCTTCGTCGCAAGTACAAGAAGGCAAAGGGAGAACGAAACGTGCTTCGCGAGGTGAGCTTGGGCTTACCAATACTTTCTTTCTTAATGCTATTGTCAATAGAAACCTGGCGAAGACGCGGGGCTTATCGCCCAGCTCCGAGCGAAGATCGCAGCCCTTGAAGACGACGCCAAGTTGGTGCGTGTGTGTTGTGCCTCGTTGCCTGCATTTTGCTCACCCATTCGCCTTCAGCAAGCAACCAAGCATGATGCCGCCGTCCAGGTCCTCACACAGGACAAGAACCGTCTGGCTCAGTCCAATGCGCAGCTGAAGAACGCTGTTGCTAACATCCAGCGCGTGTCCTTGGTCGTGTCTGGCAGCTCAGCGAATGGGCAGGGTGTCAACGAGCAGCAGCGCGGCGGTCGCAAGAAGCGCAAGCGGGGGAACAAGGGAGAGAAGGGTGGCTCACCTCCAAACAAGAAGCGAAAGGTGCAGGTGGGAAATAATAAGATCCGGTCATAATTTGAATCAAACTGCTGTGTATGTTGGTTTCAAAAGCATCACACTAAGTAGTCCGAAGAGTCATGGGTGATCAAAATTCAACTGGGGGCCTGAGGCTTCGAATTCAAGTTGCTGAGGGCCAGCCTCAGGCTGTGTACATATATTCCAGGAAGCTACTATTTTGATCCACAAATTATTAGTCCTTGTCAGAGTCAAAAATGGGGACTTCGCTCTCAAACATGCCTGGCAAAGCTCGAAATTTTTGTCCCAGTTTTTTTTCTATATATAGTCTGACATTTTCTTAGTAATAATTAGGTAAGAAACTTCAAGTTTTTTACCTAATTATTACTAAATTTTCTGACATTTCTCAGGCAAAAGTTGCGCAAAAAAAGTTCAAATTTTGACTCGGAAAAAATTTATTGTCAGGGGAACCCCTGCTTCGGCCTCCTTCGGACCGTCTGAGCGCATCCGAGGCACATCTGACCGGCGCCCCCTCGGACGCTCCGACCCACCCCGACCATCGTCCACGGCCTCCTTCGCCCGCACAATCACCAATCCGTCAAGACCCTCCCAACGATCACCTTGGGACAGAGCCTGTAACACCGCTCAGGCCTTCTGCGCTCTACGTCGGCAGTTACAGACGACCAGTATATAGTTGGCGCCCTAGCAGGTGGACCCTTCCTGCTAGGTCGGTCCCTCCGTGTATTTCCGTAGCTTTTATTCACGCTTTGGATCCTCCCCTGCTAGGCTTTCGTCGGAGTCTCCAGGGTTGCCCTTACATTTATTCACAAATTTCAATTTTTTTTTTACCTTTTTTACAGGGAAAAATTGTGGAAACAGCCCAGTGAGTGTGCACTATAGCAGCGTAAGCCCTAGTTATAACAGAACCAGGAATCATCAGGCTCATAGATATTGGCATTATCAAAGAGATGGGCGAGGAGGCGCCCAGCAGTTGTGTCAATTAGTGACTGGGTGCACATATCATGCTATATCAGGAGACTACTGTAGCATTTTAATCAATTCAGCGGTCACGCATCACACCACCCTTAAAATGCCAAAATTTTTTCAGCGGTCACACACAATGGGGACAAACGCCGAATTCACCTGGCAAATCGACCATTTTTCGGCTAGCGCGGCCCTGCGGGCTGCGCTGGAATACACCAAAATTTTTTGGCAGTCACACATAGAGGCCTCGGACGCCGAATTGATTAAAATGCTACAGTAGTGGGCTTGCTTGAAGCGCCGCCTGCAGCAGCCCACATGCTGACTCAGGCTCATCGTTGAGTTGCTGCACACGTTGAAGAGCGGGTGACGGACTTGGTGGGTAAAATGCGTACTGAAATGCACAGTGATTTCAGCCCCTCGGAGATGACTCCGATTCCAGTCTGACTCCGGTCTCGACTTCGGTTCAACCCTCCATCTCGCCTGCACAATCACTGATCCGTCAACACTCTCACGACGGTTGCCCTGGGACCTAGCCTGTGATGCCGCCCAACCCTTCTGTGCCTGAGAGTGGCCGCTACGGTGATAAGCCGCCGTCTGACAGGAAACGACTATTTTCATTGATTTTGTTGCTCAGTGCACGTCTTGGAGTTGACATATGTCCCGAATGGTCAGCTAGGGAGTTATCTGTCAAAGAACCAGGCGAAATCTATCAGGTCGCTCAAAGTGATTCTGAAATCTTGACTAAGAAAAGTTTGCAGAGCCCGTTTCTCGCTAGGATCTATCCAATCCTATGCAAAATACCCAAAAGGAGTGTAAACTAAAAGGCATATTCGGTTTGGCGCGCACTGAAGACTCGAGATCGACTTCTCCTAGATAAGGGACACCCCTATCTCTGTTGATATTGATAACTGACATCATTGGAACGTGGTTTCGGATCTTGCTGGAGGATCGAGAGTGCGGTTAAACGGTGAAAACCTACTCAATTGATTGGGGCCTGGACCTGTGATCAACGGCGACTCTAAAACACTGTCGAGGAACTGATCATCTGAACATTGGAAATGCGCCAGGAGAGTTGGGACAACCATCGCTGAGGCCATACGCACAAGATACGAGTTATGGGTGTCAATCGAAAGCTGGGAAGCAGAGCTATCAACTTTTCCTACTCAAGATCGAGGGATACTTCACAAGCAAAACTAGATGGTCGCAAATACGGAAGATTTACACAGGTCATTGACACCAATACACGCGATACCAGTCATCTGGACCTGGATCTTCGACTGTGGGCCGTATGGCAAAATGATACCAATACAATTATATGCATGGCTTACTTTTCTTACTCATGATCTACCTGATTTTATCATTTCTGTTTTAGTATTTATATCACTGTCTTGTATTTGGGGGATTCACGGATTGCCCCGCTCTACTAGGTGCATCTGGGGATCTAGCTCGTCAATTTATCTTGCTAGCTCTTTCGAAATAGTATCGTCGCGTCGAAGGATTTATTGGTTGAGGGTTTTGGTTGCTGAATACAAGAGTTCCGGTTGCTGCATATTGGGTTTCAGTTGCTGGTCAAGAGTTTAAGGCAGTTAGTTCCTGATCCAACGAGTATAAACTCTCCAGGCATCATATTGATGCTCCTCTATTGCGGAGTTTCATCAATAGTACACTTTGGGGCACACAAAATCAACATTTTTCACAAGAAACTTGTATCTATCCTACACATCTGTGCCAACGCTCTGTTCACAGGGGCCTGTTCTCGCACAAGGAGAAGATGATTTTTGGGTTTTGTGACTTTCCTACATTTGCTGTCCGCACTCCGCACTCATCACCAAACCTGGCAATCTTGTCCGGTTGATCCCGTAGAGAGTTTCTTCTGCTGTAAGGGCAACCCTGGAGGCCTGAGATCAAGGTCCTAGCAGGGGAGGATCCAAAGAGAAGAAACTCTAAGCGTCCACCTGCTAGGGAGCCAACTATATACTGCTTGTCCATAGCTGCCGCTATCGGGCACAGAAGGCCTGGGCGGCGTCGCAGGCAAGGTCCCAGGGTTACTGTCGGGAGGGCGTTGACGGATCGGTGATTGTGCACATGAGATGGAGGGCCAGACCACCGGAGTCAGAACCAGAGTCAGACTGGAATCAGACACGTCTCCGAGGGGCCGAAAGGGGGCTTACCCTGACAGTGTGATCATATCTTATAGGTCTATTATAATATATTGTTTCTTATCAAGTAGGATCTCAACCCACTTTCGGCTAATATTGCCATATTGATCATGATTAATCCTAGTAAGTATTGGGAGCTTGGCTGTGTGACTATATTATACTAACCATACAGATTAATTATTATCAAGATTATCATGATTTTTAAGTGTTCTAAAGGATTCATGACAGGGGATCTAACATCTGCTGATAAGTAAATTGTACATGTTATATAACTAATTCATGTTATGCAATACAAGTGATAGTTGATATAACCCTGCTGTTTCAACCCCTAATGTCTATGAATCTCAAAGTCATGAAGTTAAAACACCACAATTTGCTGCAAAAAAATTCCTAAAAAGGCAATTTTGATCTCTCCGGTCATATCGGCTCAGTTGGTTTATAAAACCTAAAAACCGGTTTATAAACAGGGTTTCAGAGGCGATTTTTATCAAACCATTTGATAACCCCCAAAATCTTTACAAACCAAGCCCTATCGACGATGTGCATTCCGGTGAGTTGCCTCTATAGTTGTGGATGTGTAGTTGACAACTTGAACCGAGTAGCTGTAGTGGATTTTCAGCCAGTCAGCACTGAACACACATTGCTGCACAGACTCGGCTTTGTTATATAGGTCATTGCCTGTTGCTGGCTGTCTAGCAGGAAACTTGGACAATAGTCCTTGGACAGAGGAGAATGCAGAGCATAATTAGATTTGTCGATATCAAAGGATGAAAGGAACATGACGCCCTCCTGCGTCTGTCTGGCAATGAGCACTAATGACGGCTTCAGAAGGCACACTACTAGTAGTCCTCACCACTGGGCTGTTCCCAGGTCCGAATACAAGCTATACCTACGGCTCATGACACGTTCGAGCCTGGATGCGCTGGGCATGACAATGGATCCTTTGTTCTTTTTGTTCAACTCCGAGACAATGTGCTTGGTGCCGCGTGTTCGCCCCGTGCACAAGCGTAAACCCAAAGGTCCCAAAGCGATGCTATTTTTGGCCATGTGTTAAGGCAAACGGCGGCTTCACGTCGGACTGGCGTGTGGGGTGGCAGGAACTGATATAGGCGCGTCTGGAGCACTATTTGACGCAGGGTAACGCTACAGCTACTAAGGCGCGGTGCTCGTTTGAGCAGCCATCGTTGAGTGTCTATCCATTTGGCAGAGCCGGTCTGCTTTGGGGGGTAATGTGGATGTGTGTCAGGGGAAGTTCCGTGCGCCAGCTAGTGCTGGCCGTGTCCTCTATGGAGGCCCAGCAGGTGGGTTTCTAACCTATGGAACCACCTATATCAGGTTGAGATCCTACCTATATCAGGTTGGCATACCACCTATATAGGTTGTTTTCTAGGGTGGTAAATCAACCTATGGGGGTAGTGGAAAACCCACCTAAATAGGCCAATTTCTACCTAAGCTTTACACCCAGAGGAATAGGTGGATTCTTAGGTTGTTTTCAAGTATCAGTACAGAAAAGAAAGTATACCAGTAATTACTAGTGTATTTTACTGATTGTTGTAAGGCTACTTATCAGTCCCATAGCTGGGGGCACGTACACGAGTCCGTTCCGAGTCTTGAAGCCGTCGTACTGTTCCCAGCCTTCCGGTTCTCCCTCTTCCCAGAGTTTGAGGACCTTCTCCTCCGTGGACGGTTCGGCCTGTCGGATCGAATTCATCAACTCGTCGCCTTCTGTATGCTCCAATGTGAGCATTGCGCGGATCACGTGTTCCTTGAATAGCCCCGCCGGTAGGAGTACAATGTCCTGGTCGCGTCGGCCTGCCCGTTCGTTTTCCCCGGCTTATGTAACAAGGAAAAGTGATACTCGCTCAGTTCGAGTGACCATCGTGCCAGTCACCGGTTCAGCTTCTTAGCAGTCATGAA